GTCACCCACCCAACTACTAACCTCCCGGCGTGTGGCTTAAGTACGGCTGAGCGGACGGGAAGCCCTGTTCTCCACACCCTATGGTCGTATGTATTAGCTTGCGCTAAGTTTGAGGATTATATAGACGCTTTGCTGATTTCTTGTCTCAAGATTATACCGGCCTCTCCAAACCCTTTTGCTGTCATAATGAAGGTTGTTACCTTCAAGCTTGTGATATACGGCGCTGTCGCGTGTACGCTCTTCACCAGAGTCAAATACAATATACCTCGGTTTCCCGGTGCCCAGGCACTTGGTAGAGACATAGCACCATGGCTTGGAAAGGGCATATCCTGGCGCTCGCGGACGACAAAAATGTATTGTTCATAACGGTCGGTATCGCCTTCAGTCATGTCGGAATCGTCGAGCTCATTTTTGCACGATTTTTTGTTCCATCTGAGTTGGTCCTTGCCATGCTGAAGCCGCGAGTGAGTACGATTCCCTACCTTCCCAAGGTTCCCTAATAACCTACGAAAGATGCCCGAGCTGTCGTAATCGGCTGAACATTCTTGTCGCGTTTCTTAGATACCTATGTCTGGAACAACTTAAAATTCTCCAGAGTGGTGCAAATCGCAGGATTGAGATCTGTTTTGCCTGTCATCGCCACAGAGATTCGCTTCGGGACAGGGGAGTTTGAGGTATGCTGGACGGATTATTGGCATATAAATACAGGGTCTCCCGTACAACATTATTAAAAGTAGTAGTTTTTCGGGCCTTGGCTCTTCCACTGGACCATAGGGGTATATAGTTGGTGGTAGTGACAATGCAGCCATTACACCAAAGTATATTGTTTGGGTGGTTCGCCGAGATGCAGAGATCAGATGGTTTGCTATTAGAGTTGAATGCCCTTCTGGAACTATTCGGTAACGGTGACCTCAGGTACGGGTGAACTAGGATAATTGTAAACAGTCTAGAGTACCTGATCTCCGAGGATTAAAATGGAACGAGACTGTGTCTTGGAACTGCTCTCTGCTGGATTGAATTTGCGGATATAGTTTTCTCATCCAGCCATGTCTACGACCAGGTTGTGACTCGAGCACTCCAAGTCCTGACGTCGATCTCAAAGATCGAGAATAGGGCTTGTGCTGGGCAAGGCAGATTAGTCAGAAGCAAGTTCACCTCAGACCAACATCAAAGATTAAGCGCCCTTCCTTTTGAAGTTCAAAATAAGGACCTTTTCCGTACGTGTTGAGTGAACAAGGTTGACAGGTCATTTCCTGTCGACTCTTTGCAATCATAAAGTCATGAGAAAATCATGCCTGTTGCTCCTTAGGCCCTTATTCTCGCTCACATCTTTCCCTCACTGTGGTCTAATTTGTAAGGCAAGCCAGCTATACATTTCTCATCAAACCTCCCGTGCATTGTCTCTTACTACATCCAAATCAATGGGGCCAACCATGGAAGCAACTCGTGTCTTGTACGAACCTATTGAAGATGTGGAAAGAATGGAATATTACCAGGCTGGGGGCTATCATCCAGTAATAATTGGGGACCGTTTCCGCAATCGCTATCAGATAGTCCATAAACTCAGCCATGGTACATACTCGACGATTTGGCTGGCCCGGGACGAGATATCCAACAAATATGTTGCAGTCAAATTCTGTACAGCAGATTCGAACCACTCCGAGAACAACGTGCTGCGCAAACTATCGGAATTATCAGACATAGACAAAACTATGCTTCCTTCAATCTGGGATAGGTTCAACACTGAAAGGCCCTAACGGCAACCATGTCTGTTTGGTATCTAGCCCAGCAAGAATGAGCCTCTCCGATGCAAAGAGCGCATCATGGGTCAGCCTTTCCAGGTTGAGGTAGCCCGGGCAACAGCAGCGCAGCTTGTGATGGCGGTCCAGCATATCCATTCAGCGGGATTTGTCCATGGAGACCTTCATCGTAGAAATATTCTGCTCCAGCTATCCCGCCAATTCGATCAGCTATCTGCTGAAATGTTATATGAGCAGTATGGAGAGCTGGTACTTGAGCCAGTCAATCGATTAGATGGCCAAAAACTCCCACCGGGGGTCCCAGATTATGGTGTTTCACCTGTCTGGCTCGGGGAAGCGAGTGAAAATGTAACACTCCCAGAAGCCAAGATCTGTGTTTCAGACTTTGGTGAAGCATTTCCTCCGGCGAAAGAAAAGAGATTCAAGTCCCGTACACCTCTTCTGGTCCGCCCCCCAGAGGCCCGATTTCGGCCAAATGAGTCTCTTACCTTTCCATCCGATATTTGGACACTTGCCTGTACCATCTGGGATATTATTGCCCAAAGGTCACCATTCGAAGGCTTCCTAACAAACGAAGATGATATGACTCGCCAACAGATCGGGTTACTGGGCCCGTTGCCAGCTGAATGGTGGAGAAAGTGGGAGGCAGGTCGAGTCGAGTTCACCAAGCGTGGAGAGCCAATTGGCCGACCCAAATCCGTAAATCAATCATGGGAGGATCACTTTGAAACTAGCGTACAGCGACCGCGGATAGAGGAGGGGATGCCTCCACTTGAATCAAGAGAACGTGATGCTCTGTTGTCAATGTTGCGCTCCATGCTTTCCTTCAGGACAGAGGATCGTCCCTCTGCTCAGCAGGTTCTTGAGTCTGAATGGATGGTCAAATGGGCTCTGCCTGAGTTTGAGAAGATACACATGGTTCCATAATGGCCAGGTGTGTATGCTCTGGATATTTTGTTTGTGTTTAGTAATTCCAGCAATCCTTGCATAATGGATATACTTGTCCATTCCGCAGTTGAACGGAATTTTACCTGTATATCAAAAATAAAATACACCAATCCTCAACCTCTATTTGACGCTGCTACATTGCATATCGATGAATGAAATCAACATGGTTTTGTGAGGCTCCTTGTTTGATTGGAGATCGCACTGATTCGCTGTGGTACCTACCTCAGCTGGTATACCGGCCACCGTGGGTCAGCCTGTGGTACGTACGCCTTCATTTTGGCCTGCTTGCTGACTTAAGTTATGGTTTACAGGTCGAATATACGGCGAGCTTGATGCAGATGGTGGTTGTTCGAGCGTAAAGTACGGTTATATTAGGGTTCATATAATGATAATCAGACATGAAAGAATCCCAAGATAGGTTCAATAGGAGCAAATTCAAGTTCAGGATAGTCAACTCACGCCGGTTATATTCTTACCTTACCGGCGTGGCGAACCAATTCCTGCTAAGTGTCGACATCTGTAGAACCCCATACCTGGAGCCCAGATCCTATGAAACTCAAATATATATCCACTGCTTGCTTCTCGACCCTTTCCCACGTGTTGATACCTAGTATGCAGTAACACTGGCTCCCCCGGATCTCAAACTTCTCATGAAGAACTAGTCGCCGCTCAGTTCCATCCACTACCTTCCTTTGCATAGTGCCTTAGGTAAGATTGCAGCCGTATAGCAGTCCTCTGTGTGCGCGGAGAATTGCTATAGGCAGTTGAAGTTGTACTTCGAACTCACCATAATCCCCACGGACTGTCGGGGAAGGAAATATGGGGTTTGGCCAAGCTCCTTGTTACGCCATTAATATACATCAAGTACACGGGATTTGGGCTCGAGCAGATCCAGGGTTTGATCAATAACCTGGCATAGACTGGGATCATGGGCAAAGGTGGCTTCGTATGTTTTGGCGATATCATCGAACATCATCTCTGCCTCGGTATCCATGATGGCGGAGTGCAATTTCATACGAGAGAAGACGATGAGTCCTATGTCCGTAGCATCAGTATTGACGATCGTGACCTCGGGTAGACCTTTCTCTAAAATAAAGCAACCTTCAAGAGGAGTGTATAATCTTGTTTGTTGAAGCTAACATGGGGTTGGGCCTTTTCTTTTTGCCACTTTCTCATGGCAGAGGACTCGTCACCATGCATTAATGATTTTGTATGTAGATAGATTAACCTTGGAAGTCCCTGGTCCTGGCATTCAAGGTACACTAGCATTCTGACTTCACGGTACGGCCCGCTGCACCAGACGTTATGCATTCCACTCTACTACCCCATTTTTGCATTCAAGGTCCACGTTTACAAATCTCAAACTCTATCTATGGTAAGGTTATTGACGAACACTCGTACAATCCATACAGTATAATAAAATGGTTCGAAGCATAGTAGCTCCCTACAGCGGGCGACAGGGATTTAATCATCCTTTGTCCTAAGCGTACCCTGCCATCTATGATCTACAATCCAACCATACAACCTGGTTCATGCCTTGGCTGTAACACCTCACCTAGATCAGTCAAAATGCCTGGCGCGGCTGTTCCTCAGAAGCCATGGGGCTAATGCTGGCGGTCATTTACAGGATTCATCATAGCCTGCATTATCATCACCTTGTTTGTAGGTAAGACTTTACATAGTCTCTAGTGGCTTCTTACTACCTCCGATATTACACAAGGGAAATATATCTCATGCTATCTTAGAAATCTTCCTTTATGGCTTTGTTGGGCCAATCCTTCCATACATTCTGGAGAACCGAAACCACGTGGATCCTTCCGACACCTAGCGCTTGATATGTCAGGTTCTCACCATATACGGGGCTGTAGCAGTCATATTGGGCTTCCTTATTGGACATTTTGCGGATCGAATCAAGTCCCGAGAGATGATTGTAAGAGACAGAAGCCTTCTACCGTTCTGCCCTGTTTCCTCATGATGAATAATATGTTAATCATTTTTACCCCCCAAATATGTACGGTTGATGATTTGGAGTGGAAGCATCCAAGAATATTTGGACCTAATGGTGGGTGGAGACTATTCGTAACACATACTTTAATATCGTGCTTTTTTTTAGAAATCCATAATTTTATGGTTACAGGGACTATATTGACAATACTTCATGAAGATGAAAGTCCTTAATTCTACATTTCGTTACACTTGAAACGGTGTAAAAAAAAGTGTCATATATTCTAAAACTACACCAATATCTCTTCAGCCAAAATCTATGGCATTGGTACAGCACAAGAGAAACTGGCCCGAGCTTTGATACATCTGCTGGAATCGAACGATGTCAAATACTCTATATTGTATAATGAGCAGAGGTTCCATACCCACGCGCCCCAGGCAAGTCATATGAAGACCGGGATATAAAGTATGTATAATAGATAGGGTTGTTTTAAATACTGGGAGTCAATCAGACTGTATAGTTCCTGGGTCGAATATCTACTTAATCTGTAACACTTTTAACACATTATCCCGCTTTTCTTTTGTTTCCTTCTTTTCCTTCTCCTTCTCTAGGGGCATGGAGTGAAGCTCCATAGCAACAGTAAAGACAATTTGGGCAGTAGTTAGTTCAAGTTCTGCCATAGGCTAATAGATTCAAATAAAATGACGCAATATTATAAGAAATGTCTCGGTGGCGCAATTGGTTAGCGCGTCTGACTGTTAATCAGGAGGTTGTGAGTTCGATCCTCACCTGGGACGTTTGTCTTTTTGCCCCGAGCAATTCTTTTGCTCCCGTTTATCCTGCCGGATAGGTGACTGTTCTATTCTGTTGTGCATACTGGATCTGTACCCAGCTTTACGTGCCGTAGGAGGAAGGATGATTGGTCGTTGAGAAAGACACCAGACATATGTATTATAGGTGGAACATAACCTCATAATGCTACGAGTGGAAGAATAGTAAGACGCTTGCTCAACTAAACTTTAGCAACGGTAATTGCATTGGATGGTGGTTCACTTGAAGCTAGGAACAGGAAGTCCTTTTGTGTGACTGATATGCTCATCAGCCCTAACGATTCTTTCTACTGCTTGTAATGAAGTTAAAGTGCATGATTGAGTCTAAAGGACTTTGGGACAACCCCTGAGCAAGGCTCATTACAGTAAGAAGGGCACTAACAAGTATATACTGCATCTGATGTTTATGCAGGATAGGAACCAAGCCTCTATCATTGTGGCATAGCGGCAGTGAGAGATGAGCAATGAGGTTGGGTCTACTGTTTCAATCGTCTCAACTGTGATGCGAACATGATAGTAGTTTAAACAATAGCAAATTTGGTCGATTTTCTTGGATAGCGACATGCGCTAATTAAGGAATACTAGGTCGTGAGAGGATATAGAACACTGGATATCAATTAGTCGGGAAGCTGGGTTCCATTTCTCTCTATTGCCTCACTCGCTTCGTCCTTTGGTTATTCTGCCCTGCTCCTTCAGTTTCAGAACTCTCCATTCGGTTCTTCATATTTGCCCCCCATTTTCTATTCTTATTTACCTATCGTAGAGTATACTGTTTTTAGGGATTAAAGCAATCTGGAGACAACCAACACTACACTCGAAATTGCATACACCCTCTCCAGACATAGGTAAACTAGAGCAAATTCTTCTCACAACTAGGGAGTGAAACAGCCTCCCCAAACGATATAAACCAGTGAAGTTTACAGAAGCTCTAGAATGTAGGATTTACCTAGCTGTGAAAGGCAATGATACCCACCGTCGAGGTCAGGCAGACGGATTAAGCTAGGGCCAATCCCACTGTTTTACAAAAGTATGTCTATGGTTGGATATCCTCGGACCAGATTCACTGGTTCAAATATCAAATACCTGACTGTAGGTATTGAAACACTAGATTCTGGAATTTATTCCTTAACAATATACAGAACACAGTCGATACTAAATGATCCATACCTATAGCGCTGTACTGACAATACGCCAAACGCCTCCAAGACCCATCACTGCTACCAGCACTTAGAGAAGAGATATAGATACACTATTTCTCGAGGTACTGACGCTTTACGTATGAGTTAATTTCCCGCCAATCTTATTACGCTCTGGGTTGTCATGTCAATGCCGTTCTTTTGCTACTTTGGTCTCCAACTACCCTCCTACATGAGTGAGGATACTACGGGGCATCAAGCTTCTTTCAAATACCCCTGGTCAGCGAGTCCTTAGTACCGCAATGACTGAGATGACTTGAGAGACTCATCTAGCTATCTCGCTCTGTAGACCTCGACTCCTGAATTACTGTAACCAACAATGCCCTAGCCCTCTGAAAGGCTTCCATTCAGCAAACTATGTGTTGCAAGGCAGCTTTCTGACACAGCGCAGAAACTCAATTTGCAGAAACAGAAGAAACATGGTGTTGTGGGTTTGTTTTTCTCTTACTGCAATGATTGTGACGAATTACGAGTCCCACGAACTAGGGTGATGGTCTTTTCCACAGGGGATAACGTCCTGCTCTACTTTCACCCAGCTTACCCGAGCTTCTATGCAACATACAACCACTCCCCTACCCGAATATCCTGATAGTAAAAAGATATCACAAAAGCAAAAAGGAAAGACGTCCCAGGTGAGGATCGAACTCACAACCTCCTGATTAACAGTCAGACGCGCTAACCAATTGCGCCACCGAGACGGCTGATGGGCACTTGGGCTGGAGTCTTCTATCTTATTCCGGATGGGCATTGAAGCTTCAGCAAAGCAAAAAGAGAAGAGACGTCCCAGGTGAGGATCGAACTCACAACCTCCTGATTAACAGTCAGACGCGCTAACCAATTGCGCCACCGAGACGACTGATGCACACCCAGTCGTGAGCTTGATTTTGTATAGAAATGAGTAAATGGAGAGGCTTCCGGCTATAAACTACCCAGCGGCAACCTACCCCGTAATGTTGTAAATTCGGGGTTTTTGCTTTATTTTCAGTACCGAAAGTATTGAACAGGATGTTGCAGAAAGTTTGAACTTCTGATAATTCAAGTACGCATCCAGTATGCGGGCTTGTGAGTGCTGTTATGTATATCGCAGGGAGTACATGAACCTAATAGGCAGAATAGCCCTAATCCGGTGTCGCTGCAGAATAAGGCCAGGAGCTTGGTTTGGCCTTTTCACGGATGTGTGTACTCTAGATTCAGTCCTGAATCTAAATCTTTGCAACAGCGTGCCTGTATACCTAACAGTACCCTCCTGGACCGAATTTTTACTTGGTGGCACAATAACTGTAGCCCTAACTTCAAAAACTGAACATTGGCCTCCTGATCAGTGGTGACTTCCTTCCCTCTTAACAGCTGTTCTACATTGATTAGGTTCCCTACACGAGTTCGTTCAACTAACTAACTATCTGCTAGCAGCAGGGCGAGCTAATAACATTCTTCCATAGGATGGTCAATTCAGTCGAATGAAGTAGACACGTGGTTTAGATCCTGCAATCCATCAAATGTATGGCTACCTCACTGAACTCGTTGGCTAAACTGCTCGCTTAAAGATCTCCGACTTAACAAGTTCCTTGTTGTACTATTTGCTCACCGTGTCTCCCTCGTTTGTAGACAGACCTGGACTGGGCTTATCACTACTGAAATCCGCCTGCTACGCTCACTTTTCTCCCACCCCTCATCTCTATTCCGCCTGGTAATTTCTACTTGCTCCTTGATAGCAGTAAATTCATCTTTCGGGCTGGTCATCAAATCATCGTTTGCGTCTATTCCTAGTTTCCTGAACGAATGCAAGGCTACTAATAGATTGATTGATAACTCAGGTACTAGGCAGGGCAGTGTCGTTTCATATACTATTTCCACGGGTTAGTGTCCACCTGAGTTTGTTCATGCCTTTTGGTCCAAGAAAAAAGACTCGACCAGGTAGAGGGATGACCTTGTCGGCTTTACTACCTACCATATATGCTTGTCTAGTTAGTTGGTGGCTTGAAGTTGCAGAGGACACAAAGTAGGAAAACATGCAAAAACAAAAAGAAAACACCGTCCCAGGTGAGGATCGAACTCACAACCTCCTGATTAACAGTCAGACGCGCTAACCAATTGCGCCACCGAGACGAGCTGTTGCATTCCAGCAAAATCTTTGGCATTATGATCCAAATAAAAACAAACGCCATGGAAAACCTCTATGACTAAGAGTATAATCGTTGACTGGAATCCCTCTTCAGTTCAGCATCTACTTACTCCCACGTATGTTGACGTTGACCACATAAAGAATAAATCGCAAACCCGTTAGCTTCCATATATCCTATGTACAGTATATCTCTTACTACCAGTATTATGATATCTGCTTAGCCATCACCGAGCGAGTTCAGATATGCTTTACTTACGTTACTTTCTTTATCTGTTACCCAGTCTTTAGCTTGACTTTGAAGTATAGGATCATTGCCTTTTCTCAACATTACTCGGGCCGTGAGTCTTGTGCTTTGTCATCATAGCTGGACAAATCGCTAATACCCCCGCTACTAATAGCATATAAGCGAACGGCGTTACAGGTAGTATACATTCCATATACAATCGTCTATACAGATCTATTGAAGCTCAATGTACATATATCACTGTGTAATCACATCAGGCTTGTTCGCCCCCCAATCTCTTGACTGCCCTCACCGTTAGGCATCTCGCCATTCCGGCCCACTACAAACTCACGGTATATCGCCTGGAGTCGCCGTCGCTCTGTTGGACTGAGTGAGCTACGTGTTGTGTTGAGTGACCGCTCCATGTGCTCCCATTTAATAATAATCTCTTGACGAGGCTCCTCCTGAGTGGTCTCGTTTGTGGCAGGAGTCGCGGCGTTGGCTGTGCCTTGCGCAATCTGCCGTTGGCGCCGCCGGGCACTCTTGATCGCGTCGAGCTTGGCCGCAACAGCTGCAGGTGG